TGATTTAATGAGAAATGGAGTAATTCTTCTTCTTCTTCATTCAATCAGCTGCTTCGTTTTCTTGGTTGATGAATTTAACATGGTATCAGAGCTTGTGGCTGTAATTTTCCCTTTTTCACATCAAATTATTTTTCTTTGACAAAAGTTCTGCTCTGGAATTTCTCGCCCTACATTCTCAGCCTCAACAATTTTTCTCTTCATCAACACTTTACTTGAAACATGACAAGTTCAGCTATTCTTTCTCTAATCCGGCTGATGATCTAATCAGCCACTACTATCTACATCCTAGCGACAATCCTAGCACACTAATTGTCTCTGACATCTTCATGGGGACAATTATACCTCTTGGAGTCGATCCATTTCCATGGCCTTAAGTGTGAAGAACAAATTAGGCTTCATTGACGGTTCCTTGAAACCACCAGATCCGTCATCTGGTACTACATATAATTGTTGGGTTCGTGCAAATGATCTGGTTTTATCCTGGCTATTGAACTCAATTAGCAAGGATATTCGCCAAAGTCTGCTATATATTTCCTCAACATATGAAGTTTGGAGTGAGCTCAAAACTAGATATGTTCGAAGTGATGGACCTCGAGTGTATCATTTGGAGAAATGTCTCAGCTCTATCTCTCAAGGATCACAAAGTCTCACTATGTATTACAACTCATTCAAGGGTATTTGGGAAGAATACACCAGCTACAGACCTTTGCCTAAGTGCAGCTGTGGTAAACTTTCAAATTGTACTTGCGAGATACTGAAGAGTATATCAGACACACAACAATCAAATGCTGTCATGAAATTTCTTATTGGTCTAAATGAGTATTATTCTGCACTAAGGAGCCAACTCCTGCTGACTTCTCCCTTACCATCATTGGCTCGAGTTTATGCTCTTATGCTTCAAGAAGAGAGCCAAAGAGATCTCCAGAATTATTCATTCCAAGAGTCATCTGCTATGACAGCTAGGCAACCTCATGGGAAGTTTGGTAGACCTCCTGCTTGGAGGGATAAGAAGAAGCCAAAATGCACTCACTGTGGATATTTCAATCATACTGCTGATAATTGTTTCCAACTTATAGGGTATCCTCCTGGCTGGAAAGGACCTCGAGGTCCAAGGATCATGGCTGATACCTCTATTGCGCATGCTGTAAGTATGGGGGGCCAATCTGCAGACGATGAAGGATCTAGTAGTTCATTTAATCGAGATCTTTTTCAACAATTCATGACATTTGCCAAGTCTCAACACTCTAAACCACCTAACACAGCACCTCAAACAGCAGCCACCATCACTTCAGGTATCTCTTTCTGTAGCTCAACCTATTCTAAGGCCATTACCTGGATAGTTGACACAGGTGCAACGGACCATATGGTATGTTCACCCACGTTTCTAACCTCCATTGACTCAATCATAACCAGTAAAGTCCACTTACCTAATGGCTCCTCCGTCCCAGTCAGCCATATTGGGAAAGTTAGAATTTCTGATAATCTTATTCTTGAAAATGTTCTTTGCGTGCCCTCTTTTTCTTTCAATTTAATATCAATCTCTAAACTAACAAAATTTTCCAACATTCATGTCGTCTTCTCTGCATCTCATTGTTTTCTACAGGACTTGGTCAGCATAAAGATGACTGATTTTGCTAAGGAAAGAGATGGATTATACACCTGCATGACTACTCAAACTCTACCTAATATCGAAAGCCCCACAGCATATGTCTCAACTCATTCAAATCTGAAACTCTGGCATTGCAGGCTTGGACACATATCCAACATCAGACTATCTAAGATTCCTTGCATTCCTTTTCATACTCCTTGTAAACGTTTAGATGATTGTGAAATCTGCCCCTTGGCAAAACAGAAGAAATTACCCTTTCCAGTTAGTAATTCAATATCAAATAAAATTTTTGATTTGATTCATTGTGATATTTGGGGCCCTTTTCATGTTCCCTCTTTCAATGGTTATCGATTTTTTCTCACCATCGTTGATGATTACTCTAGATATACTTGGGTTTTCATGATGCGCTCTAAATCTGAAACTCGCATCCACTTAAAATTTTTTTACAAAATGGTCAGTACACAATTTAACACCAACATCAAAACTTTCAGAACTGACAATGGCGCTGAGTTTCTTATGACCGAATTTTATAATTGTCATGGCATAGTTCACCAGCAAAGCTGCGTCGAATCTCCGCAACAAAATGGTGTTGTGGAGAGAAAACACCAATATATCCTCCAAGTGGCTAGGGCTCTCCTTTTTCAGTCTAATGTCCCTCTCACATTCTGGAGTGATTACATACTCACAGCAGTTCACATTATTAACCTGATACCATCCTCCATTATTGCCAATAAAACTTCCTATGCTCTGCTCTTTAAAAGGCCACCTGAGTATGACCATCTCAGATCATTTGGATGCCTTTGTTTTGCCAGTACTCTCAGTTGCCACAGAACTAAGTTTTCTCATCGCGTCACTAAGTGCATTTTTCTTGGTTATGCTCTTAGTCACAAAGGATATCGAGTATATGATCTGCAGAATCATAGAACTTTCATTAGCAGAAATATCATATTCCATGAATCCACGTTCCCCTATAAAAATTCCTCACACCACTCACCCACTGATCCTCACATTTTCCCCATTCCTGAGCCATCCTTCGATCATTCATATCATCGCATTATACCAGACCAACAGTCAGCAGATCTCAGCAATGATCAACCACATATCAACATTAATCCAATACCTGATCAGGTTTCCTCTACTCCCTCATCTGACAGTGATTCCTCCCCTCATCAAGCTCCTCCCAGAAAATCCACCAGAACTAAACATTTTCCTTCTTATTTGACTGAGTATCATTGTGATTTTTCTTCTGCTTCCAGTGCAAACCAGTCCTCTTCCATACTAGCCAATTCACCCCCTTCAGGTAAACCTTATTCCCTTTGTCATTTTTTATCTACTACTAGAATTTTCCCCAAACATAAGGCATTTACAGTCTCTGTTTCTAGTGTTTTTGAACCTAAGTTCTATGGTCAAGCCATCAAATTCCCTCACTGGCAGGATGCCATAAATTGTGAAATTCAAGCTCTTGAGAAGAATAACACTTGGACCAACACTTCTCTGCCACCTAATAAACGAACCATCGGCTGCAAATGGGTTTACAAAGTGAAATTTCACGCAAATGGCACAGTGGAAAGGTACAAGGTACGTCTAGTTGCAAAAGGCTATACACAACAGGAAGGGCTGGATTTTTTTGATACTTTTTCTCCTGTGGCAAAACTGACTTCTGTTCGTGTGCTGTTGGCTATTGCATCAGCAAACAATTGGTTTCTGCATCAATTGGATGTTAACAATGCGTTTCTTCATGGCGACCTCCTTGAGGATGTGTACATGGACTTGCCCCAGGGATATCCCATTTCTGATTCTTCTCTTGTTTGCAAGCTAAATAAAAGCCTTTACGGGCTCAAACAAGCATCTCGCCAGTGGTTTGCTAAGCTTACTTCAAGCCTGACTTCTTTTGGTTTTCTCCAGTCCAAGTTTGATTCATCTTTATTCCTCAAATCCACCACTGATTCCTTCATTGCTCTCTTGGTTTATGTCGATGACATTCTTCTTGCAAGCAACAATCTCCACGAAATTCAATTCATCAAGCATTTCCTGGATGCCCAATTCACAATCAAAGACCTTGGTGAGTTGAAATACATTCTTGGTTTGGAAGTTGCTAGATCAGACCGTGGGATCAGTATTTGCCAACGGAAATATGCCTTGGACATTCTTGAAGACTCTGGTTTCATTGGCTGCAAACCAGTGGCTTTCCCTATGGAATCTAATCTCAAGCTCAAGTTCGAAGATAAGGATCTCATTCCTGATCCGTCTTCCTACCGAAGGCTCATTGGTCGATTAATATACCTCACCATCACAAGGCCTGATCTCGCTTATTCTGTGCAGGTCCTTAGTCAATTCATGTCCAAACCAGCTCTATCTCATCTAGTTGCTACTCACAGAGTCCTACGCTACATTAAAGCTACCCCAGGCCAAGGCTTATTCTTTCCCTCCAAATCAGATTTACACCTTAAAGCTTATAGTGACAGCGATTGGGCTGGTTGTCTTGAGACCAGACGAAGTGTTACTGGAATAGCCATCTTTCTTGGAGAATCCTTAGTCTCTTGGAAATCTAAGAAGCAAACCATTGTTAGCAGGTCGTCTGCCGAAGCTGAATATCGAGCTTTGGCGTCCACTACTTGTGAAATTCAATGGTTACTTTATCTTCTGCATGATTTGGGGATCACTCATTCTCACCCTGCCCTCATATACACTGATACTAAGTCGACTCTTTCAATTGCTACAAACCCTGTCCATCATGAAAGGACAAAACACATCCAAATCGACTGCCATCTTGTTCGTGAAAAGCTACATTCTGGTTTGATCAAAATCCTCCATGTGCCTTCCCATCATCAACGTGCGGATATTCTCACTAAACCACTTGGCTCAGTCTTGTTTCACAGCCATATATACAAGATGGGCATTTTAAATATCCATGCCCCTCTTGAAGGGGGCTCTCACGATATACATTCTCCCAATGCTGACTCACCAGAAGAAGAAGCTGCACAATCAGCAGCTCACTATTCCAGCATGGCAAGGAGCTCACGTTCAGCATGCCTCAGCTCCTCCTTCTAGATTCTT